TGTTAAATGACACGAGCCCAATGTACCCCTCAATGTTCACGATGCATTATGAATGCTAAGATGCCGAATGGCATTTGCTCAAGATCACTGAGGACTGGCTTGGTCGCATAAAGGAATGCTTGCTTGACTGTGTGTGGCTGGTAAAAGTACGTACGCAGTGCATACAGACATATCTGTACTTATATATTTATACATGTGTGTATATTAATAGTATACATATACACCTGATCAGGAAAAGGCATGGGCTTTGGGGATACCATATATATATATACACATACACATGTTTATATTCATGTTACATCTGTATGTATGTATGTATGTATGTATGTATGTATATGTGTGTATATACACATGTATACATGTATACGTGTGTGTACTTAGGGGAGCAGCTTGCACACACCTACTTTGTTACAGTTAATGTGTACATATATGCATATATGTGTGAATAGATGTGTTTGTATGTGTGTACCCATTTTTTGTGCTGTTAGGGAAGACAATGCGAACCGAAGCGCATGTATTGACACATGTATATATTTATTGATATATACGTACAGCAATGGTAACAGTATTAATGGCATCAACAATAATTGTGATAACAACACAACATGTAAAATAAATATGGTTTTTTAGTATGCCTATACACATATAGAATACATATATAGATAGACATGTGTATATATACAAAAAAAATACATATAGACACACATATATGTATATACATATCTATATGAGTCTACAATATATCCGTTAAATGTAGAGAAGAGGACGCTGAGAAGAGGTATATGATCAATGTAGGATCAAAGGCCACTTGCGACACAGTGTTCCATGCGGACGACACTATACCTTGTTCTACTAGCGCAAGGGCGCTAAACGAAGTCATCAAACCTGAACAGATCCAAGTGCTGCGTCCAGCACATGCAAGCATATTCTTGTGTAGACCTCTCCCTGCACTTGTCGATGTTGACACATATATATATATATGTATATATGGACACACATGCAGACACAGGTTCTATAGTATGTATATATATATACAGACAGATGTAGCGAGATACACGCAGAAGGTGTGCATGTCGTCATGTAAGTATGCATGCACGTATGTATATAAAGAACTTACAATTTGCCATTTTTCTGATTCATAGACATCCAGACGTGCATGCATGCATATATGTATATATAAATACGTACACACACACACATATATATATATACACACACATACATGTATATACATGTATACATATACATGTATATATATATATGCACATGTATACACATAATTATACACACATTATGTATGCATAAATATACATGCATACATGCTTGCATGCATACATACGCACATGCCGTCACTTACATGGATACATACATCATCCATGGATACATACATAAATACGTACATACATACATGCATACACACTTCGCCGGAGCAGGTGGTGTTCAGCCGAACGACGCACCCGAGCTGGCATCACACATCGCAGCGTGCGGAAGATCCATACGATTGGCTGCTTGGACAATGGCTCCTAGAGCAGGTTTCGAGATTCAGGCAAACAAGGTCCTGAACATCTGACATTGAAGTCCGTTCTGGCGACATGCTGCGGCCTTTAGTAGACTGTGTTGACCTTCCCTGTGTCAAGCATCATCCGATGCACCTCTTTTCATTGCTTTCGGTTACCCACTGCATGCAAGCTTGCTACTGACCGAGTGAGTAGGCTTAAACTACGTATGTCGAACATGAATGATTTCTGGCAGCTTCAGTTTCTTACCAGATGAAGCATTCTGAGCTATCTCCGGCTAAGTGTGGATCCCAAGTCCACAGAAACACAGATCGCGGCACGATCGATGTCAGTGCTGCTGAAAAGCTTGCGTCCGAAGTCTACGCCGGTCAAAGGCTGGGCTGATGACAATCGGTGCCCCCGGCGACATGGGTGCGCTGGGATGCAGCCAGTTAACCAGAAGCAGCAGCAGTAGCGGAGCAACAGCAATCCTACTATTTCGATTGCTGCTGCAGGCTGCTGCTGTTGCTACTACTACTCCTACATGCCCCAAGTTCTTCTGCTAGGCGCCGGCGTGCTCCCAAGAATGCCCACGAAAACATTTAAGTTTTCACTACCTCGTAGATCTAGGGCTTACCCAGGGCTTGTTTTGACGTGCAGTTGCTGCGTCGACGACTGCAACTTGTGCTGCCAATTGAGGCCCCACTTCCGAGCAAAACCATCCAAGTGTTTTCAGGGAGTTGCAGGGTTGAGACTACAGCTGCTAGTTTTGTTTTTTCGGGTCCGCCGCGAGCCAAACATTTTGAGTAAAGGGGTGCGCCCGAGCACGCTGGCGGCCTCTACCACTCCTACTCGATCACGACAACGCGGACCACTACCAACCCCAACCTTGCACCACGACTGCGACCACTGCTCCACTTCTTCCTGCTCCTCCTCCTCCTCTTCGCCTCGTCCTCCTCCAACGACTAGTACTAGTACTACTCCTAGTACTACGACTACCATTACCACCACCACCACCACCACCACGACGACGACGACTACTACTACTACAGCAACTACTGCTACTACTACTACTACTACGACGACGACGACTACTACGACTACGACCACCAACTACTACCACTACTACTACTACTACTACTACTACTCCTGCTGCTGCTGCTACTACTACTACTACTACTACTAATATTGACTACGACTTGTAATTACTACTACTAACGACTAACGACTAACTACTAACTACTAACTACTAACTACTAACTACTAACTACTAACTACTGACTACTAACTGACTACTAACTATTAACTGCTTTCTGCTGACTGCTTTCTGCTCACTGCTCACTGCTTGCTCCTAACTGCTTACTACTTACTACTTACTACCTACTACTTACTACTACTACGACGACGACGACGACTTCTCTACTTCTACTTCCGCCACAACTGCCACCGGCACTGCCACCAAGCAACCTTTGCCACTACCACTGCCACTGCGGCTACATCTACTGCTGACATCATTTTCTGCTACCACTCGTCATACTCGTACTACGACGACTCTGAGAACCCGCTCTCCGCCCTTTGTAAATCCATGCTATGGGCCCGAAATCATCCAAGCAGCTTCGGGGGCCAACTTCCCCGAGCCACATCATCGTGTTCCCTCGTACCTTTACTCCCGAAATGCGAACATAATCGTTTCAAAAATCATACTTCGAATCTGCTCTTGCAAGTCTGTGTCGCATGCAAGGGGCCTTTGATCGGCTCCACGCGGCACGCAGTGCGGTGGCGGCAGCTTTGGGCGCAGCGATCTTAGCCATCTTGGTCGGCTGATGCAACGAGTGGTAAAAACGGTAGACATGCGGTGCAGGTGCCCGACGCGGAGTTGGGTTTGAGCATGGGGATGTCAGGAGACTTTCAAGAGGCCGTGGGACTGCACACCAGCCAGCGAGTTTTCCCGGTCATGTCTGAGACTCGGTGGCGCCGCAGGCCATCAGCAAGGGCGCCACCTCAGTGCGAGTAGGCGGGGTGGCAACGGACGCAAGAAGAATGCACTGATGTGTTCTACACAGTGTTCAGGTTCTCTCATCTTCGGCTCCCGACCTCCCCAGAAGCTGTGAAAAAGGACGTCACGAGCGAGAGTTTCTGATCGTGCTCGTCGCTCTGTGCTTTTGGAAGATCCGCCTCCCATCTGCCCATTTCAGCTCAGCTTTTGCAGCCGACATCAGCCGACTCAGAGCAGCCGTCTTCTTCCAACAGGCGTCACGTTGCCGGCACAGTTTAAGGACCCGACCCACTCGGACTCACAGACACTCACAAATGCACGCAGTAGTTCTCACGAAAGCAAGCTCCTCGACATATGCCCAATGAGCTCCAAGTAGTCTACCCATTAGACAGTAGCAGGATGGCTTTTGTTGGCTCCGTGGCCTTTTGCGTCCAGGGGCAAAATCTTGAACACAAGGAACTGTGGAGAAACTGCAGGCCTGAACAATGCCAAGGAAGAAGAGACAGAACGATGAGAACAGCGGCTGTGAACGGATTATTCCCCTGGGAGCATCGTCCGACAAGAGCTCGAGCGCATCATATCCTGGGAACACCATCTCCACCTCGAAGTACAGATGGTGGTCATTTCTTCCGCTGGTGACCTTCGAGCAGTTCCAGAAGAGAGCCAATTTGTATTTTACATTTATCACACTTTTGATGTATGTCGGTGAGCACAGTACGTTCATTGACTCAACCGTCTCATGGTGGTCAACGGCAGCAGTTCTAATTCCGATGATGGGCTTGAGTATGATCATCTCCGGATTGGATGACTTGCGGCGGCACCAGTCGGATCGTCAGATAAATTCGCAGCAAGCCAGAGTCATCCGACTGGGTGGCAAATACGGAGTTTATCTGGACACCGTTCTGTGGAAGAACATTCATGTTGGGGATGTCATCGTGCTGAAAAGTCACTTGTCGGATTAGCAGCACCGTCATTTGACGCGCTTGCAAGCAGAGTTCTTGTGCCTACAGCCTTAGATCGGGAGCTCTCGTGTGGCCGGTAGCGTTTCGACGAGCACATGACGCAGAGAAATTATTGGATCCAACTGTGCTTCGTAGCAGTCAAACATGCAAGCGTCTTAGGCTGTCATGTTGAGATGGGTGGCGTACTGCATTGCAATTTATTGCAATTTATTGCTGTGGTGGTGGTGGTGGTGGTGGTGGTGGTCGGTGTCGGTGTCGGTGTCGGTGTCGTTGTCGGTGTCGGTGTCGGTGTCGGTGTCGGTGTCGGTGTCGGTGTCGGTGTCGGTGGTGGTGGTGGTGGTGGTGGTGGTGGTCGGTGGTGGTGGTCGGTGGTCGTGGTCGGTGGTGGTCATACTGTACTCCAAAGTCCCCCAATCACGGGTATAGTCTCAATCACAGTGTTTGACATTAGCTGGCTTCTTCAACACGTTGGCAATGTAAAGGCGATCCTTGTCCAGCGGCGGTCCGCTGTTTGCAGGTGATGAGGAGCTTCCAGCTGACATCGTCCCGTTGGCGTGTTCTGGCAGTGACGGCCAGTGTTATGTGTCGACCGTGCCGTGACTGCACTGCTGTCGCCACGAAGCGGCCAACACTGTCACGGTCTGGGCTGCATGTAAGTGTAAATCCCTCTGTTCCGGAGAAGCAGCGGTTGGTTTTGCCTTGGGCATATCAGCTTGCAACAAAATCGAACAAAGCTCGAATAATTGTCGCTTCCTGGTTTCACGTAAGCTTCCAAAAATGTTTAGGGTTTAGGGGTTAAGGGATTGGACCCAACTAAAACACACAGAACTGAAAACGCAAGGCAAGTAGAAGGCGACCCTCCCGGGCCGAAAGGGAGGGAGGGGGGAACTCAAATTTGCGGCGTGTCTGTTTAAAGGTTTTTTTTGGCATTGTTCACGGTTTATTTAGTGATTAGCGGCATGCTTAATATGTAACCGGATCAGGTTTGTTAGCACATGTTAGCGCTTATTTTAGGTTTGCTTTAGGTTGAATTGGGGGAAATTGTCAACCCAAGGTTTTGGGTTGTCTTAGGTAATGACCTTTCCAAGTATAGCCAGTCGGAACTATCCGTAACATAAGGAAATCGGTGCTCCGCTGCCGTCAGCTGGCACGGTAGGTAGCAACAGTGTTCAGCTCCCTAAACCCTAAGCCCAAAGCTCTACCCAGGCAAACCTTGATGGTGAGACCAATCTGAAGATCAAGGCATGTGCCACTGAAGCCCAGGCCTTTCTCTGTCGCTTGAATTGAAAATTTCGGGGGAGAGCTGCACCGAGTGAGAGAGTTTGTAGGAGTTCGTAAATTCACAACTGCATCGGAAGAAGTCTGGACTGACGCGATAGCAGCAGTGATTCAGGGCTTGCCATAGTGGTGGTTCAGCGACGAAGACCAGTGACCAGTCATGCTGGCTGCTTTTGCGATAAGAACGCTGACCTCGAGCGCTAAGGTGAGGGCCATGCCCATGGACCCCCTTTGTTGGATCAGGCCCGAGGAAGATGGAAGATGACTTCATATTATATAATATACTATAATTATGATACTATAAATAATAAAGTCTAATATAGTATAATATATGATACAGTACCTGCTGCCGCCCACTAGCTGAGCACGGCAGCGACGGGAAAGTTGCCTTGTCAGGCCGTAGAGAAGCTGGCCGTGTTGGATGCCGCCCTTAGCGTCGAGGCTTCCAAGATGCAAGAGTAAGAGGGTACACGGACGGGTTTAGGGTTTAGGGCCTAGGGGTTTAGGGTTTAGGGCCTAGGGGTTTAGGGTTTAGGGTTGAGGGACCCCTTCATCCTCCGGAAGCCCAGAGCCAAGGCACCGAGCAAGTCCATCACTAAGTTCTCCGGATCCTTGAACATCAATCATACCGGTGTTCAGTCTACTTCCTCCCTGCAACTCGGCTGCCAGTGGAGAGTATGCAGTGCTGCAGACCCCAAATCTTAGACTTGTAGAGGTCTGCCAGCAATTTGCTTCTGCGGGGCACCCGACTGCGCAACACTGCCTGGCTCTTTGGCTCTGTCGTCTACACGGGACCGCATACAAGGATGGTGATGAATTCTCGTGACATTCCCACGAAGATGGCTAATTTGGAGCGGGTTGTCAACAGGGCGATGCTGGTGGTCTTGGGTGCACAAGCGCTGTTGTCCAGTCTCAGTTCGATTCTCTACGTCTCCACCGAGTATCGGTTTCGGACGTCTTGGTATCTGTATCCCTCCGGAACCTGGGTGACAGAAGGGGTTGCTTCTCGACTTGTGGCGAACTGGTTCAAGTTTTTCATTCTGTATTCGAATCTGATGCCCATTTCGCTGTATGCAACTATGGAGATCTGCAACTACGCGCAAGCATTCTTCGTAAAGAGCGACCTCTTGATGTACGACGAAGAGCAGGCGAGGTATGCCAGTGTCAAAGACTGTCAAAGACTGCTGCTCCATGCGGCGTGCATGTGCAGGATTGTCCTGCAGCTGTTCGGTCAACGAACCTGTGCCACGAACTTGGACAAATTTCCTACATTTTTTCAGAGCCATAGCTGCATTGGCTCTTAGGGTGCACCGGAACTCATGCTTGCAGTTTCACCGCGTTGAGAAAGTCCAGCCCATGTTGTGTGGGTGTCCATCGGGCAAAGAACCGGTAATCTGACCTCCTAGAGTCCTAGAGGAACCGAGGGACCGAAGGCTGTCAGGCTTGGTTAAGAGCAATGCGCCGCCCTCAGAGACCCGGGTAAGGATAAGACGGGGACGCTGACGCAGAACGTGATGGAGCTTAAGCGTGCCTTGCCGTATTTTTGAGCAGCCGAGCGGTTTTCAAGTGCTTCCCCTCCGTTCATACCTGGAGTTTCAGCATACAACATCGTACAACCTCAACCCTGTTCTGGCTCACCCGGACCAAACAGATGTAACAGCAGTGAGCCAAGGTGTTTCGATTTCGGGCCAGGCACGCCTTTGCCATCGTTTGTTCGTGATAGATCTTGACCGTGAGGTTTTTGCATGCGGGTAAGGAGGCTTCTACGGGGTTCGACTTAGATGCGCCAGCTCACTCCTGCGCAGGTGTTTGGCGAGGTAACAGAAGAGCCAGGCTTCTCAGATGTTGCTGGCGTTCACGCCTGGCGGCAGATGGGCAATCAGAAGCACGCCTCATGCTCAGCGAATGCCAAATGTGCTGAGGAAATGTTTCGTTTTTGCATTGCATACAAATGTACACATACACACGCATCACACGCATTCATCTCAGCAAAAGCAAGTGAACATGCAGCAGACAGGCTTGAGCTCGTGAATCAGCAGTTCCACATGGCGACCCTGCTGCACACTTCGCATCACGGTGATCAGCTGTAAGTAACTGTCTCAAATATTGCATGGGGCAGAGCTGTGCAAAGTTCCCCCGCCCCTTTGCTGGAAAGCGGTCGGAAGTTCGCCCACCATCGGCATGGCACCTATGCACATGCACACCGAGTCTCACACGTACGTACAGAAGCAGAAGAAGGCAGGGCCCGGACGAGCAAGAACCGAGAGCCAGAGAGAGTAGGCCGGAGGGATTGAGCCAAAATCCCAATACAAGTTCGGCAAGTCTTGCTCATGTAGATGTCAGTATTGGCCAAAGCGCACGGGGACGTAGGTTTTCAGCTGTCACAAATACTAGCTACGTTCAGCTGTGACAGATACTAGCTACGTTCAGCTGTCGCAAGTAGTGGCTACGATTGAACAGCGGAGACTCCATGTTGACGGGTTGGGACGTCGCCGGAATGGGAGTGTTTGGTAGCTGTCGCTTATGTTGAAAATGTTCAATGAAAGACGAGCGTAGCTCTGTGCGAGAAAGACCGGGCCTGGATGCCTCCCTCCAACTTGCAAACTGGAAGGATGGCGTGGTCGGGGGTGGGGCGAGGGGTGGCGGGACGGCTTCGTCGCGTCGATGAATGTTGCATGTCAGAGTTTTGGGGATGCTGTTGACTTTTGCATTGGTTCGTAGGCAAGGCACCCCCTGCAGGAGGCCCACGGGAAGCGAGAAGTTCGGGTGTTGCCCAATTCAAAACACGTCAACGGCAACTGCGACTTAAGGTCGATGCATTTCTGGAGATCCTGGCAGTCGCACACACTGCCGCTGTGCTTCCATACTTCAACAGCGACGAAGGGTTGACCCTTCGAGCGTTGATGCCCTTGGTTGCCTGGTCCTGTGAGCATTTTAGGTCATGGTGACGACCGACAGGAAGGGCAGCCAGTGCTACGAAGCGGAAAGTCCAGACGAAGGCGCCGTGATGTCGCGACGTGATCAAGGGCAAAATGGCTTGGAAGGGTCTGCAAGGCACTTGAGATGCGAACGGCATCAAACGGAGTTGCGAACAGTGTTGAGAACTGCAGCAGGGTTCACTGCGTATTGAAACTAAACTTCGCCATCATAGTCGCAAGCGCCTTAGGCACTAGGATCTGCCGAAAAATTTGCCAGGTGCATTGGTTGAAGGAGCCAAGCAGATGGGATGGCAACTCAACTGACTCTTTCTTTGATGGTGTATTCCATTGTAGCTTGTAGTCAACATGGTCCATGCATCTATCATTCTGCAGGCACTACTGCAGTCGCACCGCAGATTCCATCGCGATAGACATGTACCGCCAGTCGCAGACATACAAGATCTTGGGTGTCAATACCTTCAATTCCACGAGGTGGCTGGGTAGTGTAGGGCAACCAGCAGAAGCAATAGAGTTCAATAGAGTAACCCTGTGGTCCAAGTTTGCGTGCAGGAAGCGCATGTCCTCTTTGGTTCGAACAGCCAGCGGAGAGACCTGGCTTCTGGTGAAAGGCGCCGACAATGTGATGATGGACAGGGCGGAGCATGTTCCAGCCTGGCTAACGCAGAGCTTGACGAACTTTTCACTCAGTGGTTTGCGGACCTTGGTTCTGGGACGCCGACGCTTGGATGAGCAAGAGGTCCAAGCCTGGCTCCAGACCTACGATGCAGCGCAGTGCGCCCTCGAGGATCGAGATGCAAAACTGGAGGCCAGAGCAGACCGAAGAAAGGAAGAAAGGAACGTGTCTAGCTCTTGTGATCTCCTGAGGCGGCCGCTGAGCAGATTGAAGTGAAGCTTCAGATGGTCGGAGTTACGGGCATTGAAGACAAACTCCAGGTTGGCGTTCCAGACACCATTACGAAGCTGAGGGAAGCAGGTGCAATGGTTGAAAGAGGGTGCTTCAAGAAGTCCTTGAGGCCAGAACATGTCTTGAGCTGCCAGGCATTCAGCTTTGGGTTCTGACCGGTGACAAGCTGGAGACCGCGAGAAACATCGGGTTCAGTACCAATCTTCTCAGTGCCGACATGGCTGCTGAGTTGCATGTCGGCTGGGCTTGGGCTCAAGGCCCTAATTAGGAGTCCGTTCACTCTGTTGTGCTCATCGGCGAGTAACCCCCCTGCAAAGGACATCCGCGTCTTGGAGCAATCTGAGAATGTCAGGCATGCCTTGCAGGCCTCTCGTGGCTTGTGTGCGGCTTCCGGCGTTCAGCTGCTCTCATGTAGTGAGTCAAGATTTTGCATAGAGGTCACGGTTGGGAAGGGTAAGTTAAGGGTCTCTGCTGCATGCATCCCTGCTTGCAACAAAATGGGTGATTCTGCCTGTGGCAAAACACCTGGCATTTTCGGAGAGGTCCGTGTGACACCAAGGGGCTAGGTTTTTCGTATCGTTCTTTGGTCTTCGGGGAGTACGTTCCTTGTTGTTTTGTGCAGGAGCTTGCTTCCACAGCCCTGACGCCGGATGAGGGCGGAGATTCCGCGCTGACGCTGGGCCCGACACTATTACTACTACACCTAGGTGATGTTGCCCGTCACTGCGACATTCCGCCCCTCGAGGCTTCCTAATTATACTTTCCCTTGGCAGTAAAAGTTCAGCATGCAGCAGAGTCATGCCAGGGCGCGAAGCAGTCTTTGGAGCTAGACACGAAATGCAATTCCAAAGCAGCTGACGCACATTTGCAGAATCAGTCTCGTAGGTTATTGAATTGGGTTTGCCAAGGATGGTGACGGGCGCAGCTTTGGAACAGGTGACATCAGTTGGTCTTCTGGAGGACATACTCCCCGTGCTTCCCCTACAAGTGTGAGGCACTTTGCTCTTGGCAGGAGTTTCTTCAGGCGTCGAGTGTCTGCAGCGTGGTGATTGCCTGCCGCGTTTCTCCACTTCAGAAGGCGCAGCTGGTGCGCCTGGTGCGCGAATCATCAGATCCGCAACCGGTCACGCTAGCAATTGGTGACGGTGCCAACGCATCTTGGCACATCTTGGCACCACTTCCCACGGTGTATCCATGTGCAACGTGTTTCGTCGCAGTGGCAGAAAGTGCGCATCTGCCAAGGACGTTCCCATGATCCAAGAGGCTCATGTCGGCGTGGGCGTGTCTGGTAAGGAAGGTCGTCAAGCTGTGAACGCATCCGACTTCGCGATTGCTCAGTTCAGATTCTTGGAGAGGCTTCTTCTAGTTCATGGTCGCTGGGACTACCGCCGAACCTGCAAGTTCATCTTGTACACATTCTGGAGAAATGCAATCATCACCATGTTGTTGTTTTACTACACGTTCTTCTCCGGATATTCTGGCACCTGTATGTTCACGAGCACGGTCTGGACATCCTTCAGCATGATCCTTTTCTGGCCGATCATTGCAACCGGTATCTCTGACAGAGATGTGACGGCCAAGCAGGCAGTGGAGCACCCGTCGCTGTATGAAACCGGTCGTCTAGGTCTCGACTTGAACATAACGAAGATGGTGGAAATGTTGCTCTCGGCTTTTGTTCATTCCTTTGTTATCATGACCATTGCAGTTGTGGCTGTAATGGACCTCGATGTGGCAGCGACTGGATCCTATTACTCCTTCGGGTTCATGGTGTCCTCCTGGGTAGTGTTGACGATGAACTATCGGGCCACCTTCATCACCACTACGTACAACTTTGTGTTTCTTGCTGCTCTTGCAGTGTCTTTCCTCACATACCTGCTCTTCGCCTGCGTGTACTGCAGCCTGCCGTCCATGTTTCCGGAAGTGCATCTTGGCCGACAACTTTGGCAGTCCTTCCTCGCCAGACCCTCACTTTGTAGCGCTAGGCTGTGGATAAATTCATGTAAGCATCGGGATGTTGCTGTGGTAGTTCGCTATGGTAGTGAAGCCCGGAATGTGAGAATTGAGCCGCAGCAGCTCTGCCGGAAAGCCCGAGGTATGGAACTTTCCAGCACGTGGTTCGGAATCCGGTCTTCTGGATGGGAAGTCTCGCAGTACCGCTGCTTGCCGTGATGATCGACATGTTCAAGGCACTTTGACTAGAGCTCGGGTTTTGAGGTGCCCTCAAGCTGCATAAGGTGATCTGAACCCCTCAAGACATCGATTTGAACATCTCCAAGTTGAAGATGCAAGCCGAAGCCATAGGGACAGCAAGCAAAGTTCTTGTCAACAGGTGGTTCCAGGAACCCAGGTGCCGGCTGATGTTCGGAAGGGCCGAGAGGGGTGAAGCTGAACAAACGATTTTTTTCGGGTGCTTTCTGGACTTGTATTTGTGTTCCTTGGATGCTGAGCTGGATGGGGCATAAGCACCCTACAAAGACATGTTCCCATAACACTTCCGGATTTACATTCACATCTCTGCAGCTGGGCGAGAAGGGGTACCTTGAGTTCCGCCACCGTACTGCCATTTAGCTTCCACACCGTCCTGAGTGCCCTTGCAATTCCTGCAGCCGGTGCTGCGCCCCCCCCCCCCCCCCCCCGGTAGTCACACTTGAAGGCATACTTGATGCTGGAGTTTTTTCCGGATCAGCGCGACCTGATCCTCGAGCAGAGTTTGCAGGGAAAGCTGTCAGATATCTTCCGTGACACGAAGCACGCTTCTTGGCAGGAAATCTTTCTGTTCGGCTCGAAGGGACGGCATGGCAGGTATTCCAAGCCAATGTGAGCATTTGATGCGTCCGTGGCCCCATCTCTCGGCTGGTGTAGGGGCTGTCGTTGGGCTTGAAGGTTTCAGTTTCAGAAACCATGATGTTAGGCAAGCGGATGCAAAGGGAATCGGGCCGAGCAGGGACATGTGTGAGTTTTCTTAGCGTCAAAAGGTCACCCGTTCACTTTCGTGTTGATGCTAGTGTGGCAAATACCCAACCTCAGGAGTGCATCAAGCGCTGGGGAACGTGATGCCACATTTCTGCACATGTTTTCTGAGGACCCGCAGCGGCGGGGTAGTCGATCTTCCTCGTTCGACAGGCCAGAGCTGCGCCAGCAGGGTAGGGACATGTCATCGAGCTGCAGCTGCAGAAACTGCCTCAAGAACCACGCACATGATATCAATCTCGCAGCGCAGGAGTGCGACCTGGCACACGGGGGAGATGTCGGCGATCTCGTCTAGCTATGCTTTCAGCTTCCCGGAAGGCCAGAAAGTCGCTTGAGGCTTAGGAGCTGTTGTAAGGATGGTCAGGCAAGATGCGATCAGCTCTTGGATTTCAAGAGGCAACATAAAGTCAGTGTATCACTGCTCGGAAAGGCCAGCGTGTGCAGTCCCTGGGGTCCACGCCTCAGGCCGTAGGCATCGAAAAGCGTCACCCTGTCAATGCCTCATGAAATGCTATGAGAAGCGGCAGAAAGCAGACTGACGGCTGTGCAGCGAGGGCACTTCCGCGATTGCAGAGAGACTCTGATACGACGCTGCTCGACAATTTGGCATCGGGACGGCTCCTCTTCTGCAGACTGAGCTCTTAGCAACCAGGCTTTCGGTGCCTCGAGCTCAGGCCGTCCCCAAGGCCATCACCCAGCTTCGCAACCATTGCATCTTCCGACTCCGACTCGGGAGGCTCCACAGGCGGTCGAGGGGTCATCAGTAGAACCGTAAGCCCGACTAACTAGTGCTCTAGGCAGACAGAAGCAGACTCGCCGTGAACCAGGCTTCGAGGACCTTGCATCTTCGTGGTGCCCAACGCCAGGGGTGATTTTTCACTTCCAAACACTTCCAAACTGTCAGTAGGAACTCGACTACTTTCCTGCACCCTCGTACGCCTTAAATATTGTCTTACCGTCTTAACATAATTATTCGACGAGACACTACTAGTTTATAACTATAGTCTGCTGTCTGTTCCCGTGCTTCCATGGGCTCAGGGTCTCACCGAGCCCCGTCCCGCGGCACCATGCACTGGAGCTCGTGTTGCGTATGAAGATTGTCACGAGGCACTGGTAGCAGCGCCGCCGAGCCGAAGAAGCTTCAGAAGCCAAGAGCGAGCAACTTTTCTCAGCAGACCATGCCTTCGGTACAGCTGCTTTGCGCTACAAAGAGAGGTTTTCGGGCCTTAGGATTAGGAACACAGTCGCCCCGCGTTCATTCCCTGCATCTTCGTTTCAGAGCCTTTGCGGCCCGGATAAGACAATTTCAGAACTAGTGCTGGCAGCACTCAATCTTCGCTTCTACGCCAAGGTTTGCTCTGAATCGCAAAGTTGTCCTCGTGGCGCTCATTTCCTCCGGTGTCCTCTTCGTATTGATGGGTTTCGCGACACTCCTCTATTCCCTCAGCTCCTCGCAATTCAGAGTAGTCTACGAAGCACCAGATGATTGGTACGTCGGTGCTGGGGAGAGCCGCTCGGCCAGGAGTCCAGATTTTGAGAGGTCATGCGTCCACTCATGTCCAACCCCTGCAAAAGACATTGATGTTGCCCTCCCTCGTTTTGTGTGGAGTGTGTGGAAGAAGCAACGAAAAGGCCGGCACTTACTGCCGAGTAATTCAAAATGCCACAGCCCCTTGCAAGATTTCACATTGGGCTACAACAGCCAGCTTCCAGCGTCCAGATTTCAGATCGTGTCCACCTGCGTTGCCCTGCCGCAGTCTGCTATGCGCAGAGACATGTGCATGCACCTGGTTTTGTGCGCATATATACTGATGTCTGCGTCTGTATTAATGAAGGCATCAACACTTAGATATATGTATATACGTAAGGTTTCTGTATATTTATGGGCGCGTGGTTATCCCCCCGTACAGTTTAGCATCTTCCCCCCTGCACCGAGNNGAATCTCAATTTCTAGGGCTGCGGTTTGCGGTAAGGTAGTGGGGACTTGCAGGTATTCGCAGTTTGTGCGGAAAGCAGCTAGCCATTGCAACTTGAGAATGAGTCAAACTAAACGTTCAGTAAAGACATAAAAGGATGGTGCAATACACTGACAATATAATATGGCCCAACAGGGGGTGACATGACATAGAGTATGATATCGGTAACGTACGCCCGAATAGTAACGCACACATTTCAGAAATACATACACGGTACAGAATATATAACATATAGTACCTTTTTAACATGTGTAGTATTTCGTGCAAGACAGTGAAATCAGACAGAATGTAACCTAACATGATAGAATACCGCATTTTCAGAATGATATCATACAGTATATCATGTTATCCAATCGTTTATGTTGGAAAACATGATGTAACGGATCATGCTTTAACTGGTATAGTATCGTATAGTACCATGATAATGCGTAGTGTGCTCCAATACAACATGAGTTAATCTTTCATGGTACAATAAGCAGGTTGATGTGATGTAATCTGCAAAGGCAATATAACTGACAACCAGGTGCATACTGTATATGGCACATTACAGTCTGAGATCATCAGATGTAGCACGGTATGTCTTCATCTTTTATTGGACTGAATCATACCAAGATGCTTAGCACGATACAACTTGTTGTGAGATTATATGACGCGGTAGGAAGGTGAGATGATATAGTATCCAACCAAGCTTTTGCTAACATGTGTAATCTACTCTTACATTGTACGATCCACTATGATCTATGCCCAACTCAAAATATCTAATGCAGCATAAGACAGTACAACACAATGCTTGCAAGAGTATATTATCAGACGAAAATATGCAACACAGCATGATAGAACATCATTTCGTGGGCTTATGTTTTATGTTAGCTTGGAGCCTACATTATTTAGTACTTAGTTTGTAACAGAACTTCACACATGTCACTTGTATAGTACAGCATAGTACAGTAGAGTAGAGTATAGCAAAGTGTAGTAGTTTTAGTATATAATGTCGGTTGATGAGTTGGGGCCTCCCAAGTCCAGTTGGCCAGAATGGTTGGGTTAATGGGTTAACGGGTTAATGGGTCGGGGCCTCCCAAGTGCAAGAATGATTGGGTGAATGGGTTAATGGGTTCCAAAGTCCATTTGGCCAGAATGATTGGGTTAATGGGTTCATGGGTTGGGGCAACCGGCAACCGGGGTGTTTCGACACAGAGACATGGGTTTCGAAACAGACCAGGATATACAAACGACGCCCAAAACGCACGAACATGCAAAAACGCGGGGTGGGATAACTACCTACCCATATTTATACATATAATATACATAGTATACACACCATACATTCGTCTGTATAAACACATACACCTTTACATACATACATATACACATATATACATCTGTACATCAAAAATATATAATTATTAAGCCTCAACATATATGCTCATATATATATATACACATACATATACATATGTATATACGCATTCATATACATGTGCACATACATGTGCATGTACATACATACATACATACATACATACATACATATGTGTATGTGTATGTGTATATATATATACACATATACATACATGCATACGTACGTACATACATTCATACATAGACATGCACATACACATAAGCCCTTTACCACCGAAAAAGCCCCAAGAAGCTCTCGAAAAAAACTTGAACATCTCCCGGCACCCTGAACCATGAACCCCATCCAAAGCTTTACTAAACGAGTGCCTTAATCTGGGCCACTACAAGGGTAGCATAATAAAGGATTAGCCCCAAACCCCAAACACAAAAGCAACTGAAAGATGACTTGGCTCAACACCAAGTCTATCGTCAGAGCCGGAACGTGGAATTGGGATTCTGTAGGGTTGTGCTTCAGCCTGAAAAAAACATGATGACCTAGCGACTGGAGCCCAGGCTTTGGACAACTTCCTCACAGAAGGGCACAGTGAAACTCGACGTTGTTTTGGATCTAATAGGGGGGTTAAGGGTGCGCTTTCTTGTTCACGTGCTACTTCAGGGTGAGCTACTATGATTCATGACAGCAGTGCTTGTTCATAGTCGTCGGTGGGACGGGTAGTAGCTGCCGTCGAAGACGGAGACTATTGCTTGTCATCAGGAACTCTTGCCGTTCTAGGCTTGTTAGAAACAAGGGATCAGTAAGGGGGTCCCTGTCCTTCTGCTCCAACGATTGCGGATCTAGGCTAGATAAGGGTCCCCAATCTCTAGACCCTATCCCCGTGCCTTCTCAAACTCCCATGTTGGTATTTATATCTCTAAGTTCGGATCTCCCAGCGGGGGCACCATTTCTCAGCAATCGTTAGGGCTCGTGCCTCGGGGTCTTGGAATCTAGAACCTCTAAAGTAGTTCTTGCCGGGACAGCGAATGTAGGGGTCTAAATCGTTTGTAACACTCGAGTTCAGAGTTATGATAAAGCCCTACATTGCCTTGCCCGGTTAATGCCGGAACATATCTCGCAGCCAATCCCTGCGCGCTTGTGTGCGTGGCGTCTGCGGACGCAGTCTTATCCCGACAGGGTTCCTGAAGCCCAAGGCATGACCACAAACGGAAGTCCAGAATAATAAGGCGAACCCTATACCCTACATGGATCCCTCATGAAGCGCCAGAGACAATTATTGAACAATCTAGAGCATTCTGAATCCCGCAGAACCTCCGAGAAGCCTCATGCATAACAGAGCCTTGTGCCCGAACACAGCCCAGGGCAGAAGCAGCTTTCCTGCACCCAGGGGTTTGGACGAGTTTGGCTAGAAGGGTTTAGGGCTGCTTTGTGTTTGCGGTTGAGGGCTTGGGTGTTTTTGTGATATGTTCTGTGGGATCCAAGCATAAGATTTTCGGTCCAGGGTTTGCGGGCTTTAGTTTCCGATTACAGGTTCCGGGATGTACAAGTATGGGGGAGGAGGATAGTGTAGACCATTGGTACATCAATTCCACCAAAGGGATCTTGAGGCCATGCCAAAGTCGAGGGGGGGTTCTTGGGGTTTAGGGTGTAGGGTTTAGAATCGCCATGCTGTTGGTGCGACATGTGTTTCTGTCTCCCAAATCGTGCTGTCGCCACAGTTCTGCGCATATCTTGGGTGTGACTCCAAAGTGCAGTGTGGTGTTCTAGGGTTCCCGCCGCAGTGGGGTGTGCATTGTGGACCTCATGGGGTAGTTGCTATCCCGGAGTAGACTGAGCCTTTTAAGGACCAAGCGAACTTTAAAGGGCCTGTTAACGTTCAGGTTTTGGGACTCACTTCGATTTGGTGTAGGGGCTACAGCATTAGCATTTTGCATTTGGGGTTTGATGCTGACGTCAGAAAGGTTCCGGTCTTCGCGTCTTTTGCTGGGTTCTAATTGTGTGTGTGTGGGGGTTGTCTTGACGTGCTCCTGGCAGTTTTGTAAACATCAGCCAGCACCTAGGTCATTCATCAAGCCCGGTCACGATTTTGAAGAACCAGCTAGCAGCTAGAACCGATCGTTGCCAGCACTGTCAGAACAGCCCTACAAACTATCGCCCAAAAAATCCGAGGAAATCCTAAGCCCCAAACATAAGTGAGTTAATAGGCCCTTTGAGAATCTTTTGAAGCCTGCTGTTAATGCGAGCTCCTACGTTTCAGTTGTGCCAGGTGAAGTCCCAGCAGGCTCGCTTGAACAGGATCTCTAGGGTTTAGGGCCAGTTCAGGGTTTATCGAGACTAGGCTGGACCCCCCTTGAATCTGGTAATTACCCGATAGCTCATGTTCGAAGGTTGTTTCGCCCAAGGACCCTGCAAGAAAAGGGTCGGGCCATAGGACGGGTTCATGACCTATCATGGGAGCCTGAACCCCCCAAGCCCGACCGGTCCAGGGTTCTCGCACATTGGATTCGGGGTTTCGCGGATGAATGGCAAAGGCATTGAATAGAAAACTTCGCTACTTGGGCTTTGGGGACTCAGGGCATTCAGGGTGTCTTTGTGAAATTATGCAGGATAGTATGTGTTTAGGGTTTAGAGTTTAGGGTGTGGCGATAGGGTTTAGGGTTTAGGGTTTACGGTCACCTTAAGGGCCTTAAGAGCACAGTATGACTGACTTAGGCATGATTTGGGGCAGGGGGTTTCTCACCCCGTTCAGGATTCAGAAGCGTCCTGGTTCTGAGTCCCAGAGCCCTGAACCCGGGAACCTTGAAACCTCTTGAACCGTCCTCTAAATCCTAAGCCTTATAATCCCCGAATCAACAGCCTAGCCTAATTCAGAAATGAGGTCCTTTTCATGATGTTCCGAACCCCATTTGCAGTTAGAGGATCCTTCTAAATCTCTTACCCTAAGGGTCCATGTACCCAAACAGTATATACGTTGGCCTTAAGGTACAGTAGTCCCTATATAGGTACTTTGGGGCCAACATATATACTATATGGGTGCATAGACCCTTAGGGTCTTATGGTCCTGACTTAGCCCTGAAGCTGAGACCGCCAGATTCGGGAGGCGCGGATGAGCAGCTGCGCGCAGCTTTCACGGGAGTTGCTGGGCAGAATATGGGTCCTTCAGCGGTAGCTGGAACATAGGTTTAGAGGAGGATTAGTGCTAGGATCCCTTCCTTATACTTTACCACGAGGAGATTGATGTTCCAACTTTGTGGCTTCTACTGTACAGCGGGGGTTTCGGAGATTTTGGGATCAACCTAGGGTTCAGGGTAGGGCAGCTTGGGAGACCCAAAGGGCCGGGAATTATGAAGCCCCGACTATAAGACAGGAGCCTTAGCGATTGGAACAGGGCTTTTGTGGGTTTATCATGGGGTGTTTCTGGGGTCCATCTTCCGAGATCGTGTTTTTTTTCCGATGATGAAGGCCCCTAAAAAGTCTTCATACAGAGCCTTTAACAGAAGCCATCTTCTAATTATCAAGCCCCCTGTTTCTCGGATTCTGGGCTTTGCCTCGCCGGGTTTCGGAGGTCTGCGTCCCGACCTGGTCAGAACCTCCAAAGGAACATTGCGGCCTTGACGATTCGAAGAGAATGCCGGGGTACAAGATAGATCAAGATAGTATATTATAGATATTGCAGCATCGACTCTATGTGGATGTGTATAGATACACATGGGTACACATACATGCACAAACATCAGTT